AGTTTCTTTTCCTGCTCGTTCTAAGTTTGTTTCAAGTTGGAAAAGTCTCGAGTCAAAGCACGAACCAAACAGGTTTTCGCCAAGCAATAGAAACAAAGGTCCCACTAGAGGAGGTTCTGCCATGAGGCTTTGACAGGGCTAGCTATAGCATTACTCGGCTTATTGGCTTTGCCGAATTCGTTAGAGTCTCAGTTGTATAGTAGTGCAGCTAATATATCCTACTAACACCGACATCTATGGTTTGTCGTGTAAAACCATAATCTGTGTAAAGATAAGCTCAAAAACACTACTGCGGGTGGTGAAAAGCTCTGGAAAAGTCTCTATTTACTGGTACTCTTCTATAGATACTGCCTATCTTTCGCACCGTACATCATGAGGGGATCCAAGCTTCCTAGGCGTCACTACTTCGGCTGGTTCAGCTGGGAAGATAAAAGTATACGGCTTTTGGCGCCAATCAATCCCTTTCCAACATCCAATTTCCATTCAGAATTTAGTAGCATTCCGAATGCTACAGGGCCTATACAATGACTTCGTTGGCAAGCCAATACCCAAGTTAGTGCTTCTATCCTATCGAACAAGTCTGGTATCAATTGACCTGCGAAAGATGGAAGACTGGTATGGGCTGAGCGGGTATGATCCCGGGATTCGCTCCCAGGACTTTGCGTGTGATACGTGCGCCACCTGCAACTAGACCACCGCTCACCAGAAAAGCATATCTCAAACAATCAACCATCGGCTTAGTTCCTGGAGATCAGACGAAATCGCTCCAGAAAACAGACCAAGGAAAAGCAGTCAAAGGCCTTTTCTTCTTTTACCAAAAACCTCCCAATGGAACAACAGTGATTTTACAGAAAATGAACAACATCGCCTTTGTATCTATCCGTACTATGCCTACGCACTGGTGTTTGAACCGCTAGACGATGAATAATTGCTCATCATTTCATTATTACAACAGTCAAATTGCTAATTATAGCTACGTGATGGACTTAATTCACGACAGAATACGAGACCTAGGGAGCAGTAAAAGCAATCGCTCAATGTTTCAAGGACTTAACTACATCCGACATCTTCTTTTGTTCTTGATCATGAATCGATGTCAATATCTGATGTCAAAATCAGTGGTTGTTCTGGCACCGTCTTCGAAATGATAGTGAACGACTCAATCGAAAACAATGGCCCACTACGGGATCGATATGGAGTTGTCCCCACAAGTCACTGGCAAAATCCAAAATGCTCTCATGCTCCTATACATTTCAGATCGATGTTAAGGTTTTAAAATTTCCATAAAAGGCCGATTGACGTCGAGCGCATTCGGATTCTCAAAACACTGGTTGAACGTCACAATATATACCATAACCTGTATGCATCATTTGCATTGAGAGACAAATATATGTTATCCAGGCCAAGCTCAAGCTCTACGTATTTCCTGGGTGAGGGCGGTGGTGATGTAGTTGCAAGTGGCTCACTTAATTATATGAGAGAGTGAAAAAATTGAATAGACCAAAAGTGCATTCAAAAATCATGAATTTCAAAACTTTAGATTATTTGATGGAAATCGACTGCACAGGAACATTACAAAAATAGAACTGTCATGTCTTACTTCCTAGTGATAGGAATCTTTTTTGGGATGGTGTGGCATAAGGCGTTCCGACCCAAAAATAAGTAATTAAGTGCGATTCTTGACAAATTTCATATTCACAAGTCCCTTAAGTTCTTGAAATTGATGTTAAGTATGTTAAATAAATGATGTTGTTGTTAAACAATAAATAAAAATTCCGATCTGAATGGAAGTTTGAAGTTTCGGTGGAAATAATTAAAAAAAACCTCTCTGATAATACTTCAGGGAATGACATAACAGTAGTAACGCAGATCTCAATAGGATACCTGAGCGGGTGTCACATCATTTTGTGAAAAAGGCGGTGCAGGCGGTTGGCACCGGAGGACAGCTCGTAGCCCTTCTTCAGCTGCCGGTAAGTTCAACATTAATTGGACACAACACCAAACATAATCCTGTAATTATAACATAGTTCTCAAACAATTTCCTAACCAAAAACAAAGCAGACCTTAAGAGATGCTGCACAATATGCAGCACTAATAGCTTTTTGCAGTATATCCAACCGTATAGCAGGAGGAATACCCTCCCTCACAACAGCTACCCATAGCTGCAACGCGCGCACCAAATCACCACTCTGGTAGTAAACACTGGCTTTCTGAAAAATTAACGAAGTTTATGTAATATCTCGACTTTACCACTAATGAAAAAGAATGAATGAGAAGGATTATTTGCAAAATTAAAGTCGATGTTAGAGCACTAGAATATCAACAACAGTTTGAAACCATATTTGAGATTAAGAAACCCAAAACAAGGTTGGATACATAGTAACGGGTGGCGGTACTTCCTCCAGAATTCCCACAGGAAACGGCAGTGGTTCCGCGACGGCTACCGTACCCTTCCAATGAGAGTTCAAACCTTTTCCTTCGTAGCGCGCGATTAGGTGCGGCGAGCACACGACGTACTTTTCGGGGAGAAGCTACCACACCCCATAGTAATGAATAGTTACATATAAATGACCTTTCAAGCAGAACGAGGTACTGGAATGCAAAATTTCTTTGGTGATAATATCGCTAGGTGATGACAAGAAATGCATCACCAGCGCGACCCCACTTCAACATTCTATTGACATCACCTGACATTCTTCGAACCGCCATATTTGTTTATAAAATGATTAGGCGTGGAAACAGAACCACACGGAAAGGATCAACATACTTCAATTATTCCCTTTCGATACATGCGGAAACAACCGTACTTCTTGAACTGGACCATGGCCGCATTCAGCAACGAAATGACGCCTTCGTAATTCACAACCAATCGATGCTAGAACGTTAAATCAAAAGCTAAGTTCAAGATAATTTTGAGGCTCTTTTCGAGGTGAAAAGTAGAAACCTTGATGTAGGGCAGTACATTGGAAGGAAGAAAGCGAGATTATCCCCTTACTTCGCGAAAAAACTAGGTTTTTTCAAAGTAGGGTAATAGAGGATGTACGAGATCACACGACGGGAATGGCACGTAAGGGCTGTTTGAATGAGATTTCACTTCCTGCAACTGCGCTAAGGCTTACTACATCAAGTTGAAATCGTCCGAAACTGCCTTTCACTATCGCCATGGGTTATGGCGAGTTGTTGGAACTTCCTACTTGGGAGTCCTTGAGTAAGTGCAGTTTTACAACGGCATTGAAGCTCGTCCACTACTGGTGTGACATTCACACGATACAATCTGTGGCTCCTTACTACTCTAGGTATGGTATAAGGTAGGGCTTCGAATTCATACTATGGGAAATCGCAGAAACCATTTTCACCGTGAGCTGTGTCTTTAAGAGACCGAAATTTTCTGCAGGCATAGGCCCCATAGAAGCCACATCTAATGGACTAGAGTTCAATGAACTGAGCTCGAAACTAATTTGAAAATCACGGAAAAGAATGTGTGACGCACCAGAATGGCAGTAACAGCATCTTCTTCCACATTGGGAGGAGCAAGCCTGTCATAACCGATTCTCCATGGGCGCTGGCCGAAAAATACCTGCAAATTACAAGCCCATTACCTTTCAGGCATTAAACATTTATAAATATTGAATAAAGTCTGACAAGAGCAAATAATAGCCAAGTAGCTTACAGTATTCTGAATATTAGCCATTGGATCGGGAACCGGATAAGGCTTCGTTACCGGGTTACCTGAACTAATGTATCACTTGGATTCCTTAACAATCTGACTCAGCAAGGGTCTTCCACTAAGAGAAGAAAGACAGTAACCCACTCTTCTTTAGTGCCAATATGTTTTTGTTTACAGCCGAATAAAGCGAGGCAGCTAGGCCAAGATGTGTTCCTGGATTCAACGTGGCCAACGCCGTCAAACCATTAACAACAGCTTGTTCAAAGAGCTGCGCGAAGTGCCAGCACTAAAAGAAAAGAAGAAATTCAAAAGAAATGTCAAGTCGAACAAACAAGGTCAGCACACCTGTTTCGCATTCCACAGCTGCAACTCGATGTTAGCCAATTGCGGTGAAGGATAGATGCCGGTTGGACCGGCGAAGAAAATCGCTTGATGCCGACGCATTTGATTGATAGCTTCGACAGCCATATTGTGCAAGAAACACAACTCACAAATCTATAAAGATAAGATATTCTATTTACGTAAGATAATTAAAACGAAACGTCTAACCCACTTTGTAATTCAAAATTCCGACAACAGTACGCCATTCAAAAATGTCAACACCATCCCAGCTTTCCATATGGTCCTTACATTGCTCATAGGCTAGTCGATAATTCCTTAAAACTGAGCATTTCAATTCCGAGCAACATTAATGAAAACACCTGAAAGTTATCGGAGAAATGTCAAAAATGCACTATGCACAACAGATAGGTCCAGCTGCGATCAGTTGAAAGTCCCCCAATACGAATCACGACTGAAACCGCTGATGTATTCAGAAGGCAATACCCTTCAGTATTCCGCACAGAACAGATAGGTCCAGAGACGGCGGTGAACGTACTACCAAGCCACATAAATATAAATCCTAATAATGCAAGCAGTGCGTTCAGAGAAGGGCGAATTGGTACGCAACGTATAGACTTAATGCCCAAATGCCGTCATCAGAGAATCTTTTGATTTTGTCGAGTGGGACCGCTGAAGTCTTCACTCGTCATTAGACCAAGGCAGTAAACGCCACGGTCCAGGGACCAATACAATTTCATAAAACCGAACAGATACCAACCGCAGACTCATAAACTCACTGAACATGTATGCATAGAAACGTCTGCGAGGGAACAAGAGTCATAGATCCGCTCAGCACAACATAAAACAAAGTCTCTTCCCTAGACCCACTTGCATCCCAGGGTAGTAGAGGTGTGTTTTAGTCCGCTACTTTTCCCTATGCGTCCAATGTGGCCGACTTAACAGATGGACTGGCTAAAGATCCATCAATGGAAAGTTATTCCTTTAAAATGTATAGGATTTGAAGGCTTTCCTTGATGATCTAACAGTCTGAATAATAAACACGTAACAAAGAGCAAGAAAAGTTCCGGAGGGATAACAACAATGTGAGCGAAAGAAACCGATTTCGCCGACCGCAACAAAGTATTTTTGCTAGCATCAATAAAATGATATCAGAGCTGGAAAAAAGAGTAGAAAAGAAGAAATATCAACTTAGTACGGCATACTTGATTTCATGATTAACTGAGCTCACAAATGAAAAAAAGTAATGTCAGAGGAATCCAACAATATATAAGTTGATAATGTGTCTGTTGGTTTATCGGTGTGTTTGTTTGTTTACGTGTTTGTGTATGTCGGTGCGACCGGTAGTTCACAACACCATTTTCCCTGCACCTAGACGTTCAAATTTAGAAGATACCAGGCGGTAGGTTAGTAACATTAATGATAGGTACTAGGAAGTGGTAACAATTGATAGGAACAAATAGGACGTTGAAGGCAAGAATAGTAGGACGCAGTACGCCGCTCATATTAACATTGGAACCCTGTCATTTTAGAGATAATTGATGGTTGATAACAGAAGATGATAACAACGATAGAGGCTGATAAAGGTTCATAACTGAATAGATACTCCCTCCCTCCCTCACATTGGCAGTTTGGTGGGTGATGTGGCATGCGTAGAATCATCGATGCTTGGTAAAAAGGAATGATAACAACTAATAACAGAGAGGAATAACTGACATGCCCGATAAGTGACCGTAGTCACTAAGAGACACTGAGACTACAAAATGTCGTGTTAACGGTGGAACCTTGGTGTGCTGAGCGACATGAACTAATAATGGATGATGAGGGCCGATATGGAGCTATAGAAGACAAAAACCATGGGTCAGCGGCTCCCTTTGGGCAACTTATGCAAGCTCAACACCTTAGAGAGTGACCAAAAAGTTATCAGGATAATGAAAGGTTGGTGAGAAAGTCTAGAAACAAGTGATAAGCGCTTACATATGGCACTAGATCACTTCACCTTTTCGAATGACAACTGAGCACTGCTACTTCATGTGTAAGTAGGACGTGACTGGATCGCAGTTGACGAGTTATTGGGAGCGTTAATAGATGACTGAGCTTATAAAAAGTAATGAAAGGTTGTGGTTTCTGAACCACTCACAAATATTCTATAGATACAAGACATTTTGATTCGTTTCATTTCGTGAGACGGGACGATAGAGTAGATTGACAAACCTACATGAAGGAAAGGAAGTTGGTTCAAATTCTTGCTATCAGATTATGACGAGTAAGCCATAAGATTTGCTTCTCATCACGGGACCACATACTGTTTTAATTCTGATACCAACTGCCATGAAACCTTTCCAGTCACCAATAAATTTACATATTTAGAGATAAGGAGGATTACGGACATGTACTTCTAAAGTGTTGTTATCAACATCGGTTGATATCAGTATCATTCAAGACTACGAGTGGCTAAGCAAGTTGCCCGCTTAAGAAAAGTCGGTGCGCTAGTCAAATCAGACAAGAGAAAACATAAATTTCAATGGATCGTTATTCTTGAGATCGAGTGCAACAGATGGAGATGACGGAAAAATGATAACAGAAGGAAAATGTATTGAAAAATACAAACCTATACGCTGTATGAGTATCCTGCCTCAGCTCGGAAATGAAAGCCAACTTGAACAATTGTCGAACAACCAGAGCAGGAGAGTTGTTAGGGATAGAACGAGCACGAATTGTCTGAATTGCTGTGATCTTGGAACAGTAAATTTTACAAAAGCGAAAAGCTCAGCTCAACCTTCAACTTCTGCTGATAGAATCCTTGTGCTAATTCGTGAAATGCAGACTCCAACTTCGAAACATAACCCTGCACGATAGGAATTTAATTCAGTGCAACCGATGAAGTCTGTCTACTGTAAAACTGTGAAAAAAGGATAAATCAAGCGATACTCACAGCGAGATCCCCTAGCATGGGTACAACAAACAATTGGCGAGGGGTCAGACGACATATCTGACATAGTTCGTGAGCACGTTCCGTGGCCAGTGGGTCGTCACTCGGAATCGGAACGGCCCTGAAACCTCAACCATATTGTTCTTCCATAACAACTTTTGGCACTATTTACCCTTTACTGCCCCACTTTGGCGAGAATGAGCTGGATTTCTATCAAATTTTTTTCAAGAAGATGAAACCGGCTAGAAACTTGCCTAGAGGAGTAATTCGTTCCCATAGAACACGAATATCGCATCCATTTGTCATGAACACTTCGTACTTCATACTTAGTTGCAAGTTTTCAGAAAGATTGGTGACCAAGCTCCATTTGGTGCCGGCGCCTATGGCGCGAGCGCTAAGCATCTTTATGACGAGTGGATGCGATATTCGTGTTCTACGGGTCAAATTACCCCTCTAGACAACTTTCTAGTCGGTTTCATCTTCTTGAAAAAAATTCGATGGAAATCCAGCTCATTCTCGCCAAAGTGGGGCAGTAAAGGGTAAATTTTCAATGTTTCGAGAGTCCGCTTATTTAAAGGCAGAGATAAAACCACTCTGACACACCACGATCTAAATACTTGAGCGATCAGCAAATCAAAACTTGGTTGCTCTTAACTTATTTCAAATAATCGTCATGAAAGAAAGAGGATTTTCAGAATTGACAATTTTCACAAAGGGGAATCCAAAGAAAGTTCACAGATAGTCGAGCCCACTCCAACTACAAGAAACTAAAATCGCGAGGTGTGCATTGAGACTTACAAAAGGTTCATCTCATCAATAGCTGAGTATAACCAATAAAGTGGTGTGTTGCAGCTTTCTAGAGCAAGTCCAACGACCAAATGCATGAATCAAATGAAGAAAAGAAATAAATTGGGATCGCTAGAGAAATGCTAATAAAGACTCTTTGAAAATAACACTCAACTTTGTTGGAGTAGTACTACCGCTAGTCTGCTTCCATGTGTAGCACTAGATCGAAGACTAGCACATTTACTTTCTGCTTCCGTTTTCTTCTCGCTCCATGAAGCATGATCCCAGTCAAGATCCAGGAATAATACAATCAATGCAGGAACCCTATCCAGATATTTTGAAGGCCAATCACGACGCAGTATACCTGTAAGAAATGCGCTTTGTTGTAGCAAGAAAGATCAATGAAATAATTTCCAAGTGACCTCTGCCAGCCAATTTTTCAGAACCCAGTGGTAGTTCCAATTCGGCAGATACCAGTCGAAGATTTAGAGGAGGCCGATCCTGAGACCGAACTCTGAACAAAACTCTCATTTAATAAAACACTGGCTCCGAAAATTGCAAAGAAAAACTTCTACCCAAAGGTAAAGAAACTTTCTCTTTACATATTTATGATGAATTCCGGTATCAGAAGTTATATAGTATGCACGCTGTTTCATCAATTGTCAAGAATTTCTTATATGAGCAAAGTTAATACTTCTTTCAATGTAGAGAAGAAAATAAGTAGCCATATTTCCATCGCATCGCCCCTTCTGCTACTCAAGAGGGCAAGGTCAAGCGTCCAAAATTTACCTAACTGAATGCAACCCATCCTCTCCCACCTTCAATTCTACCACATGATTGCTATTTTGCCGATAGCTACCACCAATGAGCTTTAACCCACGCTTACATAAAGTAATGACTGAAGTAGCTGCATAGCTTGCATCCAGGCAGAACCGTCGTGAAGATGAAATGGTACCAATACCTATTCGTCTGACCACAATCCGACAAAGAATCGAATAGAAGTGCATTTGCAAACTCGATCAGTCCTTGAAAACGGTTAGTTCGTATCAAAAAGTAACGAAGCGCTCAGAATTCAGAGCTTTCCGAACCAAATGCATGTAATTCTTTTGTCGGGCTATCCACACACTCGTACCTGCGTTGCCTGCCAACTTGGGCTAAGACCTATTGACATTGGAGAACCCTTTGATCACAGCGCTGATCATCAGCATTTCTGCTTGATAGCATCCTCCCATCTCGTGCGGGAAGGCGCAAAATCTTGCGGTTCTAATTGTGCCTGCCACGTTAGCAACGTTATATGCTGATTCGGCAGATTCGCTGTTTCCACAAACTCTTCAGTATGTACAGTACAAGTCAGAAACCAAAACAGCACACCACGTCATCGTATTTAATCTGGTGCTTTTGAAAATCCTTTCCTGCAGTTGTTGCTGCTTGGACCTCTTCAAATGAACCACCTTACCTGACAACTGAATCGCGATTTCCAATTTCAAAATGAAGCAGCCTCACGTTTAGATATTCTTTATTGACCGCGATGCTTTTCGTTGTACATCCTCACTTTGGCGATGAGGATATCTTCTACGGTTTTGCCTAATAGCCAAACCTTTGACACTCTACAGTGCCACTGACCGAACGTACTGAACTGAAACATCACAACTCATCTCAAGGCAGGGGAACACGCAACAGCTCTGACCTTAACTCGAGTGACAAGCCGACTTACAAAAAACAATAACTGTCAATTAATCGCACGTAGAAACATCCTTTCTATTCAGGATGGACCACAGCGCAGCCATCACTTCAGAAATACTTTCAATACTCAGAGCATATTTTTGAACTGTGGTAAAATTACTTTTCCAACCTTCAGTAACTTGACCTCGAAACCCGTCAACCAGTCCTACTAGCTCCTCCAATAGCCTGCCTATCATACAATAACAGATAGCTTCAAACTTTTCACGATTTTTCGGTATTTCCTAGGACACATGGAGTTTAGAAACACTAACGACAAGTTAGCAATGAACACTAGCTCCGAGGACTCTCTGTCTGCCTGCGTATCACCATTCCAACTTTGCCCTTCTCACAAGTTGTTCTTCATATGTATGTTATTAACGATTGAACATTTGTACAACTTGTACAGATGTTTCATTATAATGCCGTGATTGCAGAACAGGATAGAAAAAATGGCTGCTTAAATTGCTCACCCAAACGTGCTCACGAGAGCTGAATGCGACTCTCTGTTATTTGGATCTAATCCAGTGAGAAATATTAGCTGTTGCGGTCTTCCACCCAAGCAATCACCGGCCTCTACCGGATCCATAACTTAAGGGGAGACAACATTTAACATGTTCCACACTTAATAGAATGCATTTTTATATAATAGCAACTTATGTATCAAACAGAACGACTGGTACACGGACTATGCATATTCATAACAATTTTATTCTTCCTCATTACCAACAAGAAAAACAACGGCGAAAACTGGTGGAGGCATCATTGGCGTCATTATTAGTCCAGCTGAAAAGAACAGATAAAATTAACACGAGAAAAATGAATTTATAATAAAAAACAAATGTGTGGATCTCTCCACTACGCGAGCACGGAACATGCGAACGCGTTTTCGACGAGATCCTCTGCTCTTGCAGGATAAACTTTCCGAACAAACAAAGAGTTTTGTCGGTAATGGGTCCTGCGGAGGAACTACGATATCTACAGTACTTCGCTTACCTTTTTGAATCCTATATCTTTTGCGTATTCTCGGAAGCACCGACGGCACATATCGAGACCGTACTTTCGGATCAGACCATGATGGTTGGAGCACACACGGCTGAATAATAAACAATCATGTTCGTCATGCCAAACAGATTTAGTCAAGGGAATGTCTACTAGAAAACCTATGAAATCGTTGTGTATTCACCAAAGATCGCCTGGATAAGCTTGGCTCCAATCTTTTTTTATTGTAAAGTTGATTTGCCCGCACCGTCTCCAAAATTGAATGGTCTGGGCAAGTAAGCACGAGACATAAAGAATTCCTTCATAAACACGCATACCCTCACAACCGATACACTTACTGAGCGCCCGTCCGCCATGAGCGGGACCCGGCGCTCAAGTCATTACTTATATTACACCACACTCATTCCAAACTCCTGGGTATTCTTACTTAAACTGCGTTCATTTCACTTCGCACCGCCCTCTCTACACCAATTCCCCCTCCACGAAGATGTAATGCAGCATAGTCACTTCCTACCACCTACCATCAGTGTCTCAATCCTACCGCCCGTCTAACTTTCAAACTTTAACGCTGGAGCTCCGAGGGAACATTTTTCGCGCAACCCAACATCCTAGTGTGCAGCGTAGTCATGCCGTCAAGCGATCAGTTTTTATAATCTGCCCCTTACATTTCCTACCCTATTTTAACGCACCAGGTCCAAGAAAACAACCTCTTTCCCACTCCCACCCCCCAAATGTAAAGTCGAGTTCTGCCACTAACCTTTGGTGTTCCCATTTTTCCTCCACTACTCCTGCAAAGCTTCAGCACCCCAGATATAAGGGAACAAAAATTTCCGATGAAAAACACACATCGGCACTGTCACATACAAGCACCTACACACATACACAAATAGACCACCACAGCAAATTGACCACATTTCTTTAGATAGCCTCTAACCACTTTTTGTCTGTATTTAAGGTAAAGTTTTAGTTTGTTTTAGCCCCCACCCCCCATCCTACTGCCACAATTTCGAACTGAACTCCAGATATTCAACCATGTCATGAATCCATATAGAAGGTGCAGCCTACTTACAGGACGCTCTGCCATCGCGGATGAGCCTCCTTCACCTGATTTGTTGGCCTATTCCTAATCTTTGCCTACTTTTTACGATGTCTGGATACGCACACATTCCGAAGATGACCCAACCTCCTAAGTTCTTCACGGATACACCTCATGACCAAACCATACCTTGATTTAGTTAGAACAGGAAATAGAAAAATTTTGGAGACTACATGGGAGAACTGGAAATCGGATGAAGATTGAATCCACGTCGGAATCAACAACATTGACTGCATAATGGACGTTATATCGTAAAACACTAGGACCACATCAGAAATAAAACGGAACAACAAGATCATAATGTCATTTTACGATCTGTTTGTGGAAACGNCTCTGCCATCGCGGATGAGCCTCCTTCAACTGATTTGTTGGCCTATTCCTAAACTTTGCCTACTTTTTACGATATCTGGATAAGCACGCATTCCGAAGATGACCCAACCTCCTAAGTTCTTCACGGATACACCTCATAACCGAACCATCCCTTGATTCAGTTAGAAGAGGAAATAGAAAAATTTTGGAGACTACATGGGAGAACTGGAAACCGGATGAGGATTGAATCCACGTCGCAATCAACAACATTGATTGCATAATGGACGTTATATCGTAAAACACCAGGACCACATCAGAAATAAAACGGAACAACAAGATCATAATGTCATTTTACGATCTGTTTGTGGAAACGTCAGAAAGTTTTATTAAATGTGGGAATTAGCTGTATTAGTTTCCGTGAGAAATGGACGTAAAAACATAGGCCTTTACCAACCGTCGAATCACTGACGAAAGTAAGATGAACCAATTCCATAAGCTTATGAAGAGAATGGAACAGTATTCGTGAAAAAGAATACTCACGATAGCTGCCCAGGTTATGATTCAAAAATAGAAAATAGTGTGAGAAGTATTGTATGCTTCAGATGATTGTTTTGAGTAGAAATTTCTCACCACTCCGTGAATAATTATCCTTTTTTCGATAATAGGCATCATCAGCCCCACCAAATGCTAGCATTGAACCAAATTATAAATTGTCTCGTATGCATATCCACATTACAATGAATGCACCACGCCTTATAATTTATACTGAATTAGGTATGTTTCCTATTTCTGAAAACATTTTCAAAATGAGTGCGGGAAATGTAAGACCTATACACACACGCACTCTCTCTCTCTCTCTCTCTCTCTCTGAAGGTCTGAATTTAAAGACATTTGGGGAAAGAATATTCTTGGGGAAAACGAAGTACACGAGGCTTTGGCTCACACTTCTTGAGTCTATAAGTCGTACCGTCAAAAGCTATAATCAAGCTCACGATAAACGCATACGAAAGCGAATTAAAAATGTCTA